TTGACGCATTACGTACTGACATTATTTTTTCCATTCATTTTGGCTATCCAAGGAGGCTTTCAGGTGATGTTTTAAGGAAGAAGTTTTAGTTACATATCACTTTTCAAATCTACTGTATAGCGAAACAAATGAATTTGGGTGGTAGGTCCAGTGAATACGGCTAGACCCCCAAATTGTGGTCGTCATCAGCAATCCGACTTGCATGAAGTCCTGTTTGTTACGAAATTCTAGTAATATGTTTATTGAAAGTCAGTGTGCGACACAGTAGAATACCCAACTGTGATATATAGTTACAATTTGGATGTATTGAAAGCTGTTAGTGAAATGGAAACCTTGGTGCGTAATGATCGGTTACAGTTACCGGTTATTCTGCTATACAGTGGTACATTTTACCCATAAATTTGGGAGACGTATTTCTGGCTCAACCTCATTTTAAGCAAACTTTGGGGTTTAAGTGCATCTTACAGGGTCCATAGCGTTGGGAAAATCCTTTGAAAGTCTTTTGAGGTCTGGAAAGTTTTGAGTTGTCTTTAAATTACAGGAAAAATCAAAAAATCTTTGAAAGTCTTTAAATTTCTTCATAGAAATATTAGTTATTAATACATTTTATAAAGGTCCGTTTCCCCCCAGGGAACTACCATATCCCCAGAACTTTGATGAGCTTTGGTGATGATGTTGGCCTGAATTAAGGCTCAAAATGTCTTAGAAAAATGCAAGAAAGTTTGGAAAAAGGCCTGGAAAAGGCCTGGAAATCATTTGGCTTTTGGTGCTATGGACCCTGATCTTAAAATATGTGTGTTGCTCTCATGAGTGTACAGTTTATCCAAGACATTCTTTCTTTTGTATTTAGTCCATCTCTTGTTTGCCCTTCTCTCCAGGAATCTCCTTCTGTAGGGTTGCCCCTCAAGGCATTACTGTAATCTATAGCCAATTATATGCGCTCTGATCATCTCTGAATAGGTGCAAGCCAAACCATGGCATTGACCAGTTACAAATAATGCACTCCCTTTAATTACAATCATTTGCCTTCATGTGGTAGATATTGTATATTTTATCTCCAATCAATGACATTCCACAATCTACATGATGCCTATCAGTCTCTGAAGTAGCTACATGCAAAGGTGCAAGCTAAAGCAAGTATTCACTTGGCAATTCGCCAATTGTACAATCAGGTAGCAATCACCTTCAACATTTGTCTTTGTCGTTACCATGGTTTGGTGAGTCAAGAGAATAATAAGACAGAGAAAAAAACTGTTTACCAAGATAATTTGGCGAGTTTACTAAAGAAAGGAAGTTCTTTTTTTATATGGTTTTGGATGTTCAAATTGATCTTGTGTAAGGAAGTCCCTTTCAAACAAAAGAACGATAGGTGCTTGAGTCATTGTTCTCCACCTATTGTAGTTTGGGGGTGTGGGTGTAAATAATAACAAGTGTGAGCCGGAGCTTGCGTTGAGGCAGGACCACGCTAACTATCAGCTGTGAACACTACGCCAAGACTGACAGAAAATCAATAATTGGAAGATATAGGTTATTACTTTGATGCAATTATGCAGCAAGGTGACTGTTTCGTGTATTTGGTGGAGCCACTTAGTCGCGGTACCGATGACAGTGACAGCGACTTAAAAGACAGAAGTGTCTCTGAACCTGACATGGCTTTTCTAGCAACACTTCGAGACTTTGAGGGTAAGATGACACCATGTGTTTATCACAAAATTAAGTTTTGCTGAAGTCATGCTGTTTTAACAGTTGGTATAGCTTGGGTTGTACACGTGTATATTTTTCTTAATTTTAAAAACCTTGGAGAGAATGAATAAGGCATAATTTTTATGACGTTTGATATAGTTGGACAATATTTTTTTTAAATATGAATTAAATATTTTCTACAAAACTTCCATGCTCATTTGCCAAGTTTATGTTTTTTTAAAGGGCCAAGATTGGTTACCATGGCAGCATGTACTATTGTTTGGCTTCACTGGGGACATTGGTGTAGTTTAGCAGACAGTTACTACAATTTATGTATTTGCCCTTGTTTAAAGAATGCTAAGCAGGGCGATGCATTGTTGTTTGTTTGTTTGCATTGTACTACTATTTGAAGTCGATAAAAATGTCAATGCATTTCGACCTTACTGATAAAAATTCTTGATTAAAATTTACTACCTGATTTCTTTTGATAAACTAATTCATAATTATTTTAAGATAACTGGGAGTGATTTACAAACAAATGTGAGAAATATTTTCAGTGAGAAATGCGACAGTATTGTATAGTTTCACCTGACAAACCTTAAAGTAATTTAAAAGAGAATAACTTGTTTGCTGTTAGTGACCTACAACTCTGTTATCCAGTTACAAAAAAATGCTTTAACATACTTCTGTTTGCTCACCTTTTCACATTTTGCCCTTTCATTGATAGACCTAGAAATAATAATACAACGGAACGTTGTAACATAATGCTTCTTGTGATGCATTGTTTTGACATGATTTCTCAATATAATTTGGGAATTATTTATTGTTTTCAACTTCTGTGATGTTTAAGTGATTTAATTAAACTTTGACAAAACTTTGAAATAAATGTTCGGAATGTCCGGGTGAATTTTCTGTAGCATTACAGTGCTCACATCTAATGTTAGACAGTGCATACCGTGTTGTTGAAAATTTGTGCTTCCCTCCGTTAGTTTTTCATTGTTTGTGTTCGTCATGCTTTCTTGGTTTTATTTAATTACTTTGCAGTCCTGGTAGTTGTTGTTGTTGTAAAGCAACTTTAAACCAATCTTGTTTGGCTTATTCCAGTAAAGTTACTAAAAATGTTGTTGTTGCCTCACAACTGTCTGCAATTATCTTGTATTTTCATTTCAAAACTCCTGAACATAAAAAGGTCTGTTGTTCGAGAGAGTTTAACACCAATTTATAACTTGGCTATAAAATAGTTCACAATACCTTACAAGGTATAATAGTAGATCTCTTGTCGTGAGCTTGAAAGAGAGGTTTTATTGCATCGTTTGAGTTTAACAGACAACATCGAACACAGCGATGATTCCAAATTTAATTGTCATTGGTAGAGTTTTAAAGAGGTTAACTGCTTTCCTTTTGTCTCATCTTTGTTTCAATTGTATAGCATTACTGTAGTATAATTTATTTAGCCTGAAAATAACAATTGGCTTGTTAGTAAATATTTTTGTGTGTGTGATCAGTTACATGGAAAGTATCAGTGTCTTTTCACTACAGTTTGTATTCACTGGTTTCCACTTCAACAAATATTAATTCCAAGTGAAAATAAAGTAATCAGCATTATTAGTTCTTATAACAAATTTGAATAAAATAGTTTTAGGCCATTCTTCAACAGTAATTTCACCAAATCGATGACCCTTGAGTAAAGGAAATTTTTGTTTACAGTTACCATAGAGATATCATTGTAAGCTCCAGCTATGTTGTAGGTGGTACCCTTGTTTTTAACATGATAGCCTTGTGGTATTTCATAAAGTACAATTGAGTGACCCTTCTTATTGTTTTCCTGATGATGTTGTTGTCATTTCCTACCAAGCCATACTAATTCAGAACAAACGTACCTTGTGAAATAATAGATAGGAATTTTAAATGATATATATGATAAAGAGACATTTGGGATTGTACGTACTGGTCTATGATAACTATATAGATAATGCTGTGTTAAATTTCAATGTGGAGATTAACTCGCACTCACTCATAAAATCATCCAAAATCAATTCATGGGAGTATACTGTAAAATGACTAATTTTCACTGGGTTTAAATTTCGCTGATTTACCATTTCAGGCATATTCAGTGGGTTTTAAATTCACGATTTTATCATTTAGATAATGTGTTCTATGCTCAAATTTATGTGAAATAATCCAAATTAAAACCCAGCGTATATTTAATCCTTTTACAGTAGATAAACTTATGTCTGCTTTGCTGACATTTGATATAAGCTCTTTTTGCTGCGATGTTAGATGAATTCAAACATGTAATTGTTTTCTTATAACTGTTAGCTATACCATGCCTCTGAGAATGAGTTCGGTATAATTGGTGCAGTGTAACCTGCTTTTACATAGAACACCATGTAGTTTGAGAACAAATTTTTTTTTTTATATACTATTTACATTTATAGGATTCTTAAATATAAAAGCAAGCCTAAGAAGTAGGAAAAAGTGTAAAGATTTATTCAGGTTTGGGTTAGACAGGTTTTACTGTTTACCGTAATGGAGATATTTAACACCTAATTCATAGGTTCATCAGAATCTTTGTTATGATTGGTCACAAAACAAATGGGTTGTTTTCTAACTTTATATTGGTCTTTCATCTTGGTCTGATTGCTGGCTTTTCAAAGACAGATTTTGTTACTTCACTAATATTTTATTTAGGCTTTAACTGATAAATTACTAATTTTCTCTCAATTATAATTATCAATAGTCTAATAACCACTTGATTTTGACAGTCTATATGTCTTGAAACTTTTCATAATTTTGTGTTATATTCGCCTCTTGTGGTGGTTATTCATATATTATACCAACTTGATTTTTAAAATAATTCTGAGACACAAAAATAAGTTTAAAGAATCAAAAAACATGTTCAAATGTGTTAATGCATCTGCAACGCAGTACTTGCAACCATGGTTAAATAAAATGGGCCCTGGAACTAACAAACGTCGATTATAGATTCACTGATTTATGACAATAATTTGCACCAGTATTTTAGTCTTACAAGGTTTGTTGTCAATGTTTGTGTGTGTTTATATTTGTCTCAAAAAATACAGATTCTGAATTGAATACATTCTATTTCATTTTGTGGGTTGACAAATGTTCTGGATTCACAAGCCATGCACTGAAGATGGCAATAATTTTGTGTAATTCTGAAAAATCGAAAGTCACATTTTTATTCACTATGCACTACATTCGTAGTGCAAAATATTATTTTTGCCAATTTGCATTTTAATCTTTCTGAGTGTTATTCATGTTTGGGACCAACATACACTATAGACAATACAGTTATGTTATCATTGTGAATCAATCCATTTTTTACTTTGCTAGGATTTTCAATCTGACTATTTCATGGAATTCATAATTACAAATTCTGTCACTGTTACAAAATTGTGTGATTGTCACTGTCTCTGGAAATTCAGGAAAATTTGTCTTGTGAAAGTGAAGAGTTTTACATTATATGGTTATGGCACATCACAGCTGTAGGAGCATCACAGCTAAAGGTGCATCACAGCTAATGATGCATCACAGCTAAAGGTGCATCACAGCTAAAGGTGCATCACAGCTAAAGGTGCATCACAGCTGAAAGATGCATCACAGCTAAAGGTGCATCACAGCTAAAGGTGCATCACAGCTGAAGGTGCATCACAGCTAAAGATGCATCACAGCTGAAGATGCATCACAGCTGAAGGTGCATCACAGCTGAAGGATGCATCACAGCTAAAGGTGCATCACAGCTAAAGGTGCATCACAGCTGAAGGTGCATCACAGCTAAAGATGCATCACAGCTGAAGATGCATCACAGCTAAGATGCATCACAGCTGAAGATGCATCACAGCTGAAGGTGCATCACAGCTGAAGGATGCATCACAGCTAAAGGTGCATCACAGCTAAAGGTGCATCACAGCTGAAGGTGCATCACAGCTGAAAATGCATCACAGCTAAAGATGCATCACAGCTAAAGGTGCATCACAGCTAAAGATGCATCACAGCTAAAGGATGCCATGCTGACTGTGATAAAACTTTACTGTATACAACTTTTGTATTTCAGTTGAGTCAGATTTCCTGAACTCTAAATTTGATTTTACAGATGGCTCGAAGTATGAGAGACACAGTGAGAGTGACGTCGACTCAGATCGCATGGAGGATTTTGATAGAAAATTCCAAGTAATAACAACAAGGCGAAAGAAGGCTGAACAATGTAAGTAACTAGTGTAAGCTGGATAACATACTGTATTATATTTACATAGATTCAACTTAATTTTTCAAGCGATAAATGTCAATCTTGGAAGTCTGCTAGGCCACCAGTTTTAAAAGCTGGTTGTACATTTGGTATACCATAGTAAGTATTAAGAACCATACGCAAAAGTGCAAGTACAAATAAAATATTATGCAGCTCAATTTCTTTGAAGATGAACTTGTTTATATAAAAAAATATTAATCATTTCTAGTAGTATGGTTTGGCTACTAATTTTGAAAATTGATAGCCTTAGGACGAGAATTGATATTCTGTGCACCGTTGGCTATTGTAAATTTCAAGCCCTACGTGACATTTAAGCTTGGTTAGACAGGAAGACACAGTAAATTTCCTGGAACTAACCCCCTCTCGTTGCTCGTTGCAAAAATTAATGATTTATATTTTTCACTGAAGGATACAAATACAGTAAACATAAAAATGTTGAGAATATGTTTGTCTTTAATTTATGACAATGGATTTTTACTTGAGCCCTCTATAGAGGTGATAACAAGTTACTTTGTTTTTACTTATAACTTACTATTTAACAGATACACTACAAAGAAAAACACTACACAAACATTTTAGTAAAATGTACATTCGTTGAAATCAACAATGCAGCAATAGCTGCGGGGGTCGCATATCAATTAACAACCAAGGCACTTGACTGACAGTAGACGTTGATGCACACAACTTCGCCATTACCAGGTGTAGTGTAGCAATATACACAATGTGAAAGCTGCTGATAATTTCAGACCTAAAATTCAGTTAAGGAGAGAGAGTCCTGATTTAAACAAATTGTAAAATTGTATTTCCTGAGTTTCTGCGGCAATGCAAGACTGACCGCTATTTACATTTCTAAATTTTACGACATTCTCTGATTGGTTTTGTTCAAACTAAAGATGGATCATACATGTCAGTTTTTTATTGGATTTGATCGACAACTCATGGATATGCTTGAGCTGATTTAATTTCAATTGACATTTTTATTTTGTGTTACTGATGAATGTCATTTTCTTTTAGAATTTTATACAAAATGGCCACTTGGTGTCCTTTCAAACTTTGATTGATTTTTTTTAATTGAATTCTTGAAGTATTTTTTTTTCATTAAAAACAATTTTAATGTGTTTCATAGGCCATTCATTATCTTATATAATTTTTAATAAAACTAAATTGATAGTTTATTAAAAAATTAAACAAATAATATTCATAATAACCTGTTAATATCACTGATTGAACTCTTTATGTAACCCCTGAAAATGACTAATTAAACCTTTTAATCTGTTAATATCACTGATTGAACTCCTTATGTAACCCAACAGAATGACAAATTAAACCTTCTAATAACCTGTTAATATCACTGATTGAACTCCTCAAGTAACCCCTTAGAATGAAAAATTAAACCTTTTAATCTGTTAATATCACTGATTGAACTCCTTAAGTAACCCAACAGAATGACAAATTAAACCTTATAATAATCTGTTAATATCACTGATTGAACCCATTAAGTAACCCGGCAGAATGACAAATTAAACCTTTTAATCTGTTAATATCACTGATTGAACTCCTTATGTAACCCCTTAGAATGACAAATTAAACCTTCTAATAACTTGTTAATATCACTGATTGAACTCCTCAAGTAACCCCTTAGAATGAAAAATTAAACCTTTTAATCTGTTAATATCACTGATTGAACTCCTTAAGTAACCCAACAGAATGACAAATTAAACCTTATAATAATCTGTTAATATCACTGATTGAACTCCTTAAGTAACCCAGCAGAATGACAAATTAAACCTTTTAATCTGTTAATATCACTGATTGAACTCTATGCACAGATCAGTTGAACGAATTTTGACCACTGGCATCATAGTACAGAATGCAAGATTATTAAACACTATAAGTACAATTGTTTTTATTCTTAAAGTGAACAAGCTTAATGTTAAAGGAAAGATATTTTTCATGTACCTCTAAGTAGTGTGGTACATCTAATGAATGGTTTTAATTAGCAAGTATTTTTAATGACTTTCTTGTTTGATTTTTATTTGATACACCAGCCATACTTAAAAAGTCTCTAATAAAATAGTTTATTTAATAGTTTATAGACTTGTTGGTTTTGTGGTGGTTTATATTTAGTTACTTTTATTATCCGTAATGTTTCATTTTATTTCACTTGTAAACACTGCCTAGTTCTGTTGGTGAGTAAATAAATAAATAAAATACAGTTGTCACTTGAAAAAGTTTGATCAACAAAAATAAGTGAGATTATCATGATTTTCAAAAAAGTCACTGGCTTAAATCAGTTTTTTGATAGACTTGTACTTATTTACATAGTATTATTTAGAAATGTCAGCTTGTCTGGCAACTTTGTGATCTTCTTGCGATTTTTCCTGACTTTATCAATTTTTGTGAGATCTTCCTTGCACTACTTATATACATCATTTTAAAAATGGTGTTAATATTTAGTACTTTTCATTATTTTATTTTCAAGTTATTATATTTTAAATTCATTGTGATTACTGATAATAGACTACTTCTAATGAGACCTTGCCAGCAATTTATAATAAATAGATGAGTGGCCCCAGGGAATTAACGCATCATACGTAACCATAACTGAAATTAAGTGTCATTCTCAGACGATGAACATGTCGATTCAGACGATATTCTTAATGCATTGGATCGCCTACAAGCTCTGTCACTAATGATGCCTGGCAATGAGTCACACCAACTCGATACCATTCTTGATGATTCAGTTGACGATTCGCGTAAGTTGTGATTTGCTTTAACGGTGTTGGATCTTAGCGTGTGTTGATTTTGGATTTGCCTTCTCTTAGTTTTGTGTAGTTCTGCTTTCTAATGTCTACTATTGTAGAATGATACCTGCTGGTTTGTTTGAGATATGCATGTATTTTTTTTGCTGTGTTGTTGAGTTGTAATCTATTACTTTTTTATTTTTACCTACAAAAATATTATTCTTCTATTCTTGTTCTGTAAATATTGTTTTTTTGTTTCTACAACATTAATACTGAATCATCCAAAAATGATACATCCTCTAACTAACGAATAATATTTTTTGAGCTGAATTATTAGAAAAACATGAAAATTATTATAGGATTACAGTATTATCCACATGTATATTATATCCATCATATTGGATTCATAAAGTCACATCATTTATATCTGCAAATGTTTCAAGAACATCTCGCGTGTTATAATCCTTTTATGTCAGACACATGGTGGGCTGTTCTTACTGGAAGGAGATTAAAAATCAATATTACTCTTGACGGGTAATGAATTGTAAACATAATGGACACCTAGATTATTTATTCAAGGTTTCTTTTTAAAATCGTTAACCATTGAATTGGGAGCATTAATAGAAGCACAACAGTCATCTCGTGTGCTTTCGTATTGAATAAATGGAAATCTCAAGTATCTTCTAATGTATGTCTGCAAAATACGTGAGAAAATGTATGGACCTACACACACGTACCTAGAAAGTACCAAGTGTACATAAAGCAGCCTTTTCAATATATATTCTGATAATTACTACACTTATTAGTGCCATATATGTACATGTTTTACACAATATAGTGATAATACCTAGGGGAAGATTCAGGTAATTGAAATGACCACTATCAATTATGTCAACAACTTAATGAGCACTGTCAGTCATTGTCACAATAGGCTCTGTCTCCTTCCAAGACAATTGTAATACTACCAATCTTAGATTCTGTTCATGGTTTTACCTATTGGTGATATTGTAATTTCTCTGAGAGCATTAAAAATACAAATGTAGGTACAGGTACTGTTACATGTATTTGTATTTTCAAATATCTTTTGAATCTGCTAATTTTATAGTATACGGTCTATTAAAATTTACAAAAATCACTGATATTTCATTTAATAAACCCTAGTGACATTTACAATGCTAAAACATTTCTATATTGTCCCTGGTCGTTGAAATAAGTGTAATGAAATCGATTTTCATATGATCCACTAGTAAAAAAAATGCAGAAAAATTCAAAGCACTACAAATTCAGGATATTGTGTTGAATCAAATGTTCCATTATATATGACACAACATATAAAATTGATAAAGGTACTTTATTTGGCAAACAACAGGGGAGCCTGCTGCTGGGATCAATCAAAATACATAGCTTAGATCAAATTCCCCAGCGGGCTCCCAAACGTGAAAGTAGTAGCATTGACGAGCTACTGGTAAGAAAAGTAACAGAAGGTCTGTGATAAATGACAAATGATAAAACTGAGCAACACCAAATTGTTACTGGCTGAGTAAATGAAAATACAAATGTAACAAAACACTGTAAAGTAAAACTCTGTAATAAAAGCTAGACTATAAAAATACAAAACAATAATAAAAGATCAACTTGTTAGTGCTGCAGTAGCTGCAGGTTAATAGGTCAGTCATTAGTACGAATTGAGGGGTAGGATACTGCGGAAGCTGTACCTACTGGTTGTGTTATTTGCAGAGACAGCGGAAGCTGAAACTGCGTGATGTTATGTGTTACTGGTAAAGGCAGCAGAAGCTGCAATTACCGGTAGAAACAGCGGAAGCTGTGATCTACAAATATGGTTGTTAATGTAAATGTTAATAAAATTACAACTGAAATTACATATTGGGGGCAAATGAGGACATGGAAATGTGCGAAAACCCCCAAAATGATGCAATGATGAAAATGTAGTTTTCTTATGGTAAGCATTAACACATCTACAGCTGAAAGCCGCCACAAACAGTCAAAATGAATGTGAAAACTGGTGTCAGCAGGCGATATATGTAAAACCCTTATTTTGTGATCAGTTTAGATTGCAAAATAGGAAAAATAAATGCTTGGTTAATGTGTAATGTTAAGCAGTATTTGTGACATAGATATATAACATCTCGCGTGGTTCACATATTTCTAATTTATTGCATGATCAGGATTGTCAAGTGCCTTCATTATGCATTCAGTGGTTTGTGGATTTCAAATATCCAACCAAAAACTGCTGATTGAAACAGACTGAATATAAATACAAAACATGTGTTGAGTTTTAGATGAGTACCATTTCAAAATGAAATGCAATAATTATCAAGTTCAATGGGGTAATTTATTAAAAGCTGATTTAAAAATGTATATCACTTTTTTAGCTCCGCTGTCGATGAAGTCGAGTGGAGCTTATAGTATTACTGATTGTCCATCGTCGTCGCCGTCACCGTCGCCGTTGTCAACTTTACATTTTCGACTTCTTCTTAAAAACCACAAACTGTATAGCTGTGAAACTTTCTAGGAAGGTACCTTGGGTGGTTCTCTCTCTTCCGAATCCCAACCTGAACCAACCACACCCTAAACCCACCCATACTATTCCAACCTGAACCAACCCCACCCTAAACCCACCCATCCTCTTCAAACCTGAACTAACCCCACCCTAAACCCACCTACCCACTCTATCCCACCCTGAACCAACCCCACCCTGAACCCACCCATCTTATTCCAACCCCGAACGAATGTTTCTTTGAAAATACAAACTCCTATAATAGTTCAATATGCATTTTTACATTCTAAGTACCTTCTTGGACATTTCCACTATATTGCCTGTATTAAGGTAGCGAGACTATTATTTGTGTTGAAAATTACGATTTTCACATTTATTTATTAATTGATGACATGAACCATAAACTTTCATATGATAAAGTCAATATAACATAGAATGTCATGTAAGTTGGTTAAAATATAGATTTTCTGAAGGGAAGCAAGGCAGCCTCAGTAGTGTTTTCCAAAATCAACAACACAGGTTTAATCTGTGTGCCTATAAGTTTCAAAGATAAACTCAAGACAAAGCAATGTTAGGATGTGTTATCAGTAGCTATCTGACACACAATGAGTGTTTCCAAACATTTGAGTGGTTTGTCTCCGCCCCTGTTTGTTTCACAGATTAGTCATTTGCATATGAATGTGTCAGACACAAGTCACACAGCACTAAAAAAAATCATGATTT